CTATAACTAAAAATCACAAAAATAAAGTCCAATATAGTGTTGTACCCAATGAATTTTGAAAGAGTTTTTAGTCCTCAAACGCATACGTATCTTTTTTTTTTTTAAGTTTCATTTCATGTTATAAGACGCAGTTTCACAGGCTCTGGGATTCCCCCAACCCCTCCCCGTACCCTCCCCCCATGGTGATTCCTCCACTTTGTTGCAGTTCAAATCCAGTCATGATTCTTTCATTGCAAGTATGTACCATGCATAGACTCCAGCATCTTATTGTCCAAATAAATTCAACAGTTTCCTGGGGAGACCATTTCTGGTCTAAAAGCGGAGCTGGCAGAATATCATCCCGACCAATGAAAAGCCACAACATATCATCAACAACAGTTTACAAAATTATGGAGTTAATTGACATGGTATTGAGTGACTGATATGGTAGAAAAAGTAAGTTCTTAACCACATCCTGTGACTACTTCATTGACATTTCAATATAAGGTACACATATGTATCTTATAAGATAAGACCCCAAAAACACCATTACGCATGCTAAGAAAGAAAAGAAATAATTTTGGATTTTAAGGAATACTCGAATGTTTTCTTCTTTAAGAAAATATGCAGAATACTAGTAAACTAAAAGATAAACAGTCTCTGTAATATCATTAATTGGAGGGTATTACTACCAAATTTTGGTGCACAAACTTCTAATCTTATCTCTACAATGGTCTCAAAGTTTTTGTTCTCAGGGCATCTTTATATGCTTAAGAATATCCGAAGAGCTTTTGTTTATTGGGTTCTATTTATTGATATTTGTGTATGAAATTAATGATTTTTTTTTTTGGAAAGACGGGGACTTCAGTGGTTCACTCCCCCAATCCCCTCTGCAGCTAGAGTTGAGCTAGACGGGAGCGAGCAGTGTGGCATTCATTCTCGGTCTCCCATATGGCTGGCAGGGATCCAAGTACATGAGGCACCACCTGTTCCTTCACAAGGTGGACATCAGCAAGAATCTGGAATAGATGCAGAGCTGGGACTTGAAGTCAGAAACTATATTGTAGGATGTGGGCATCCGACCCAGCACTGTAACCACAAAGCTAAATGTCTACTTTGTAGTAGAAACTTAAACTGAATCTTTAAAAATGTTTCTTATTTAAAATAAGAATGAACCCATTATGTATTAGCAAAATAGCATATTTTCATAAAAAAGTATTTGCGTAAAAGGAAGTTCAGTCTTAGATTTTTGCAGATCCTTCTAATATCTGACAGAATTCAAAACAAATGGGATATATAGGGCCCGGCGGCGTGGCCCAGCAGCTAAAGTCCTCGCCTTGAACACAGTGGGATCCCATATGGGCGCAGGTTCTAATCCCGGCAGCTCTGCTTCCCATCCAGCTCCCTGCTTGTGGCCTGGGAAAGCAGTTGAGGACAGCCCAATGCCTTGGGACCCTGCATTTGCGTGTGGGATACCTGGAAGAAGTTCCTGGATCCTGGCTTCGGATCTGCATAGCATCGGCCGTTGCGCTCACTTGGGGAGTGAATCATCGGGTGGAAGATCTTGCTCTCTGTCTCTCCTCCTCTCTGTATATCTGACTTTCCAATAAATAAATAAATCTTTAAAAAAAAAAGAATTACTCTGATAAACACACTAGAATAATCTATGGAGATGCTATGTCACCATAGTAACCAACACAGAATAGTTGCTAATTAAAATTTTTGAATGAATGGATAAAATACCTCTTTTTAACCTAGAAATACTTGTTACTTTTCCACTTCATTTTCAAGTGAGTTACAGTATATGTGGCTTATCATTCTTCTTGCTGAAAGTAAAGTTCTTTAGCCTTGAGACAGCCAATACCTGTGCAGATATCCAAGCTGGTCATGGCCAGTGTTTGTTGAAAAAAAAGAAAAATATGAATCCAGCAGGTGCCAAATTTTGACAAATCTCCAAACAATGACCAAGAAGCAAACACCATGCTCATTAGCAAATTGTCATGGGTCATTTAGAAGTCACTGTAAGAATAAGCCTGTAAATATTTTTGCCTGACACACAAGCACGGCTTCTTGGCGTGCAGTTGTGCACAGTGTTATGTGTAGTTACAGTCGAGCAGTTCATGTGTGCCTCTGCCCTTCGTGAAGTCTTATATGCTTAGATTGCCGTTTTTATTTCTAGATCGTATTCTCATGTAGTGTACCATTAGATCCATCCTTTTTTTCCTGTTAGAAATGAAACTTGTACTACTATACAGAGTGTGTGTGTGTGTGTGTGTTCATTAAGTGGCCCTCCAGAAAATGGATCAGTTTTGTTGAATGTTGTCTTTCTTTTAAATTTAAGATAAGCATTGGTGAATTTTGCACACTGACCCTTTCAGGCCCCTGTCAGGCTTTTCATCAGCATTAGACAGCTTTGAGAATTAGGAGCGCGGCTTGCGAACAGGGCATTTTTGCAATGAGGAGAAATGGCTTTTAGGCGGTGCAGTCATTACCTTACTCTCCCATGTAGTAAGAAGTAGGATATTGAAAACCCTTTTCAGGGGGATATTAGAATCTTCTGAAGAGACACAAAAGGTGACAATGCTATTTTCACATCCTCTTCAATACATATGTCAGTAAAAGAGGAAGCATTAGCTCCTGGAGAGAAAGCTGCTCAGTCACAGAGTCCACATTAAGCCATCGAAGCTGGTGATGTGTTAACACCTGGAGGTACAGATCTCAGCAGAGGGTCCTCTCTGTCTAGTCACATGTATCAGTAAGTGAAAAGTCATGACAGCATCGTGTGCTCTGTGTTGGTGATACATGTAACAATCTCAGTTCAGTCTAATTACTCTATATGTTTCTGCCCCTCCCAGCCAGTTCTGTAAAACACTGTAAGAGAAAATCATTTCGTGCCTGAAATATTAACAAGAAGAATTTGATTGTTTAAATTGTAGTTTCCCACATAATATTACAAAGACTATTCTATAAAAACCGTACCTACTACTTTGGACGTTACTTCCTTATAAATTTTAACAATTTGTTTAATTACTCAAGGAAATAATATTTTTTGAAAGAAATGTTTATATGTTTTAAGGGGAATTGTTCTGCAGCCCACTAGTGCAGACTGTTCCTCATTCTGAAAGGGTGGAGATCAGATCCAGGGGCTGCTCCAGCCGACATGAAGACGCAATGAAGCTCTGCTGCTTAGGGAGAGCCGCACATGGCAGCCACTGCAGCGTGTCTTGTTTGCACGCACACTGCTAGTCCCCAAGCAAGCACATGTTTTTTTTTTTTAAATGAATGACTTAGGTGGAAAAGGAGCCTAGAACCTATTTCCTTTTTTTTTTTCACTCTCTTCCTTAATTTTTACTGAATTACTAAATGTCTGGCATCATCTTTGGAGGTTACATTGTAGTTGGAGGATAAGATAAAAATATCAGCAATAACAACAGAATACCAGATATAAACACTGCATAGACTGGAAGTAGCAGGATGTACTCATTGCCTGGACAGCTATTTTAGAGCATGCGGTTAGGAAAGGCCTGGCCCTCAGCAGAGGGCATGAACTTTCCTAAGGATCTGGAGTTGTGAGAGAGCGCAGCTACCCAGCAGATGGCATTGAGTTCAATGAGTTTGAGGCTGAGAAAGAGGGCGAGTGGCACTGCATGGTACATGAGCAGAGGCGGGCACAAAAAGAGGGGACACAGGGTCGCTGAGGGCACACAGTTGAGAGGCCACAGTGGAAAGCCAGTTGAAGGTGTGTTACCAGGAAAGTAACATGATCTGGTGGATTTTTTAGGAACTGCCCTCTGGTTGATTTGTGCATAATAGATCCTGTGTGAATCCAAAAGAACCCTGCTGAGTGGAGGGAGCCAGTTAGTCATCCAGGCCACAGGCTTGAACTCTTCTCATGGAGGAGATAAGTGGGTGAAGTCAGAGAATCTGCAGCTTTTACCAAACTCACTGAACGTTACAGAGTAAGGAACACCTAGCCACTTGTTTAATTAGCAGCCTTAGATGAGGACATTTTTGTGTTGGCTCAAATGTTTTAAAACCAGATGTCATATAAAATTCCGAAACCTTATGACTTTTTAAATAGAGATTCTGACTACACGATGGCATTAGGATAACATTGGTTAGTAGTTAAGTGTTGGCTTCCTGTGTTTGGAGATGAGTAAGCTCTCAGAATTGCCAATGCTCCATCTCTCCCCAGCATATGCCTAACCAGAGAGCCATAGTTGGTTGCCATTTGTCATTGATTTGCCATATATACGTGTGTCGTGGCCATTCAATGTATTTACCCTACTCTGTGGGCCTTTCATTTTTTGTCTCTCGTCTCAGTCTAAAAATAAAAGGGGTTAAAAAATTTTAGTGTTCCTATTAATTTTTTTATGTTATAGCTAAAAACAAATCTACTTAGCTCACTGACAATGAAAACTAGTAGTCTTGTAAAAAAAAAAAATCTATATATTTGAAACACAAAGTGACAGAGAGGGGATAAAGTAATCTTTTATCATCTGGTTCACTCTCTAAATGGCTGCAGTAAGCCAGGGCTGGGCCAGGCTAAAGCAGGGAGACGAGAACTCAGTTCTGGTCACCCACAAGATACCAAAAGCCCAAACTGTGGGCACGTGATTGGCATGTGATTGGATTGGAAGTAAAGTAGTTGGAACTAATGTCAGCCTGTGATATGTGGTGATAGCATTTCAACTGGTAGCTGAACCCATTATGCTGTGACACTGGCCCCCATAGCAATCTTCATTACCAACCGGAACTATGTGTCATAAGCCAATGCTCATCCATGGAGGGTACTGCCTAAAAGCACAATAAGGACTTTTGTTGTAGTAGTAAGTTTGGATTTCTTGATTGTGTGGAGTTTTTGGAAAATGTACTGATATATATACTGTTATGTGCCATTTCTTATGTATATTACATTCCAGTTACAACTCAACATTGGTAGCAGTATTTAAGAAGAATTTTAAGTATGGGTATATTTGATTGAACATTGTAGTTTTTGACAAATCATCTTTCCCTTCCAGCCAAGCCAAAGCCATGTACTCCTGTAAAGCAGAGCACAGCCACGAGCTCTCCTTCCCACAAGGAGCAATATTTTCTAATGGTAAGTCCATCTTTTTCCAAAACTTGATGTTTCTCCTCTTGCAGAAGTGATCTGACTCAGTCCCCCACAGCCTGTGTTCATGAACATGTGGCATCCCTCGGGGCTCCAGTGCACTCCCTAACAGACACACACGTTTATGGGCATGCGTAGATGTCTACACCTACTTGTATGTGTGAAAAAGAGATTGCTTTATTGAGTACGTGAGTACAAAAAGCATTGCAACTTTAAAGGGGCCATGGTTTTCTGTTTTGAAAATCGGAGTGTGCCTTCAGGATTATTATTGATAAGTAACGACTTGGCGTTGCCACTTTTCCATAAATATTCCTGTTGTTTACTTTGGATTTCCTTTGTACTTTTAATAGGAGATTTTTCTGCCTTCACGTTCTTTCATATTGTTGGATTGGGATGAACCGGATATCTTGTGATATGATTGTTGCTTTTAGCCCTTGTTTATATTCCTGTGGAACTGTGGTCTTCCTACTTTTACTTGTTGAATATTATGGTTAGTGGTGAATTAAGCCTGTGATTATGGAGTGAATTAAAATTATGTCTTTGCAAAAGAGAGGAAGGAGGGGGAAGGAGGGAAGTATGGTTGTCTTCTTCAAACTGTGTCTATGAGAAACATAAAATCATTCTCTTTATATTAATAAGCTTTTCGTTTAGAAAAAAAAAAAAACCTCTTCCACAGTAGGATGTTAAAGAGACTTTTTCAAATGGAAGCTTAGTTAGGAACACGCTAACAATAGTAACTTAATGTTAAAACAGGGACCTCAGTAGGGAAAAGGATCAGACTTCTGAAAGTGATCCACTCTAAACATCAGTACTGGAGGTCGGAGGATGGCAAGGAAGAAAAAGTTTTACTTTCTTACAAAATAAAACTGGTTTATTGAGGAAGGAAATCTGAGTGTATGATTGCAATCTGTTGTGGATTTTATTACTTGAAGCTAATAGTAATTGACTGACACTTATTTCTTTCCTTATTTTTCCAGTGTACCCATCAGTGGAACCCGGCTGGTTAAAGGCAACGTATGAAGGCAAAACAGGACTAGTCCCAGAAAATTATGTGGTCTTCCTCTAATGCTCTTTAGTGGATGGCAGTATCTTCATGGTATCCATGGTGACAAATAATAAATGCTATGATTTTATCTGACGCAGATACAGGGATCAGCCCACTCAATGAAAACAATCCATTTCTATCAAGTTCTTTGCCAGCAGACTATGTAGCTCCCTTCTAATGAAAAAAAAGTGGAAAAAGTTTAAATGATCCACCAATCTTCTTTGACTGGTTTCTTATTTTAAAAATCTTTAAGTCATTCTCCATAATGTCTCTTCCATGGGATCTCAAATACTGTGCTAACATATTATCTCCCTCAAATTGGGAAACAAGAAATCTACTAATGGATTTTCAGATCTCTCCTTTACTGTCAGGCATTCTCTGAGCAACCTTGAAGTTGTTACTTAAAAATCTAATTTAAATTGTTTGTTGTAATGTTTTTCCTAAAAATATACTGGTTTTATATGTAATTGTTTCACTGGTCCTAAACATTTCAAGTTTAGTTTTTGTCCTAACATAATTTTACTTTGTTTTCAAAGTAGATGATAATGTTGACCAAGCAATAATGTATATGGTGTCTGTAAAGAAAGCCAACTTAAGTCTTACACTGATTCCACTGTGCACAAGGCATCCAGCATTCCAGACAGCTTCCATGAGTTCAGAGCAGGGATCAACAAACTGTTTCTGTCAAGAACCTACAGTACATGTTGATGGTGGATTAGATGTGGCTATGGGTCAGAGTTTCCTGACCCTTAAAGAATGTGTAAAATTGTTCTTCATAATGTTGGGATCTTTGTAAAATTTTAATACATTAACATAAAAATACTGACAAGTCATATGCATATATCCTCTCTGCTAAAAGCATTATACTGACATCACAAATGCATAACTACCATAATGGGAAAGCTGTAAAGGCATACTGCGGAAGTCCCTCCTGTTACACTCTAAAATGTCAAAAAATTTTAATGGTACCCAGCATTGGCTTTGGAGGTATTTTTCAAAAAATGGTAAAGATGTTCAAAGATCTCAGTGAGGAACTACACCTCCAAAAATTCATGCTTAATTGAAATAGAAAGTAAAAAAGTGAAGGACGCTTCAATCATATTGTTACTAAAAGGGGTCCGTATTTTTTAGCAGGGATTAAACTTATACGTGATTTTCTTTTATGCCAGTCAATGTAACATTGTTTATTAGAAAATTTTCTAGATCTATAGAGCATAGAAACAGTATTTACTACTCATTTATGTATATATACATATATGTATGTATCAATATCTGATCATACATCAATCATTTCTATAATTTCTATTTCAACAATTCTAATATATTATTTCTAAAAATATCTATATGTGGCAAAACAAAAACAGAAATTTTCTTAGGATTCCAAAAGAGCCGGTTACCTACCATGTGGCTGCCATAGCCCTGGCCTATGTGGCCTTAATAGCTTTCTTGTAACTTCAGAGTTTCCCTATATAGCTACTCAGGTATTAATTGTATAAATCTCTTTTTATGTGATATTATACTCTGTAGCCTTGATCTCATCTACTTTTAATTAATGTTTCTAGAGTTAGTAGGTTAAAACAAATACAACTATGCCTCAGAGTATTTATGCTTTTAAAAATACAAGTAACCAGAGTTAGGACTTACCAGTCAAGAGATTAGTAATATCCATGGAGTCATGACCAAGAAAACATATCGTGAATGAAAATATTCCAAATGGAAAAAATTGATAAAAGTTTGTCTTGTTCTTTTTCCTCTTGATATTAACTGTGCTCACTATAATGAGGTGGCAGAACTTCTTGGTCAAAGCCCTTGGTGACCGTTAGTAGTAATAACAGCTGAATCTAATTACCTTCTGCTGGAACAGGAGGTCTTTGCAAGGTGCCGGCCCCTTAATCTATAGGGAACCCACGTTTTAAGCACCCTTGCCATTACCTGGAAGTTCTGCTGGATTAGAACCTCTCCAAGCAAATTGGCTTTCTGTCAAAGACCAGTTTGACTCTAAAGAGAAATTTGGAGTCCTACTTCACTTGCTGCTGCATAAAGAAATCTCAGCCTTCATTTCTATTTTCCCCGAGAGCAGAGTGCCCCTCTGTGAGCTAGTTCCACTGACGCTCAGGGAGGCGCAAGATCAGCTGCTGGGTAGGACACAAGTGTCAAGTCCAGCTCTTCGATGATAATCCGTGCTTGGTGCTAGGGCTTAATGGTGATTCTTTTGCAGGAACAAGCAACAAATGTAACTGGTTGAAACTATACATTTGTTTGAAGTTGGAATCTTACAGATTTGTGAGGAAGGTTCTTTTTCTTTATATTGATTACATGTGTAAGTAGTCCTGGATGTATACTGGAGACAGGCTAAAGCGGCTTGCCTGTCTTTTTAAATAAGTTTCCTACGGATGAGGTATTTTGAGATTTGAAAAAAAAATCATGAAAATTAAACACTTGGAGTATCAGTTACATGGGAAGGTAATGGAATGAGAATGCAGTCAAATTTGTTTTCGTGTTGTAATAGCAGAATTTTAGCTTTTCAAAGACAATGTGAAGATATGTTAGGGTTGCCAGATGTGTTCCTTTGGAAAAGACAATATATGTAACCTTATTAGATAATATTGAAGTAAAATCTGTCTGTGGGTGAGGTATCTCACATGTTATGAGACAACATCCCTGAGAAAAAACATGTATGAGTTTCACAAGAAATGTGTTGCTATTGTTCTTGTTGTTATTGTTCCATTGCACCACCAACATCACAGCATGTCAAACTGAAGGATTTTTCTGTTGTATTATGTATTCATGTCTGAAAGGTAACTTATGTTCCTTCAGATGTCCACGAGGTGTGAGAAGCACCATGTATCTTTGATGTGAATGGTTTTATTGTTTGTTGCATTGACTGTCTGCTCCCTGAGCTGTGTAACGTGCGGGACTGTGACAAGGCTCTCAGCTCTGGCTGCTCTGCTGTCTCTTTCAGGAATGGTGGCGGGAAAATGTACTTTTTACAGTCCTCAGTATCGAACTCTACAAGTTCCTAAACAGGAAAAAAATAAAGATATACAGTAACTTTCACTTTATTCTTATTCCATGATAATGAACCATGCGTTATGTGTATGACACACTTTTTAAATCCAGCGTGTTGTGAAGCACACCGGTCTCCTACCATGATCCCACGGAGAAGATACCAACTTCTCCCTGCCCGTCTTGTTTCTCAAATCAGTCTGTGCTGAAAAGGCCATCACTCACATGGAAGCTTGGCTTGGAGACCAGGTTGAGAATCCTTTGTCTGAAATTCTAAGGACCAGAAGTATGTGGACTTCAGATTTGAGCATTTTTTTTTTAAAATGCACGAATTATCTTAAGGATGGGACCTAAGTCGCATACTCCTGCCTGATATACACAGCCTGAAGATAATTTTACAAAATAGATTTAAGAATTTTACTAGAGAATTTGCCATTGTGGTATCATGTTGATGTTCCAAAAATTCTCAGATTTTTCAAAAAAAATTTTTTTTCAGATTTCAGAATCCCAGTTCTGTATGCAGGCTGTCTTCCTCCAGATTCAGAGACCCGACCTGCATGATTCAGACTTTCCTAAGTGAAGCCAGAGGAAAATAAGTTGGGAACAGATTTTTTTTTTCTTTAAAATACTTATGTCATCTGTGACTGCTACTGTGGCCTCCTTCCCTGAGTACACTCCCAATCCTATCTCCTGATGAAGAAGAAAGCAGAAGCTACGTTATTGCCTAGCAGTTCTTTTCCTTTTCACTAAAGGTCCCCCCTTTGGTAGAAACTGTTATTTAATTTTACATCCTGCACAAAATCTGAACATTTAAAAAAATGAGGTTAGTTTTGCAGAACTATCTGGACAGTGCCTATCTCCTGTTCACTCACCAATTTAATCCCAGATATTTGTCACTCGTCTCCATTTCCTGAACACATTAAATGTGTCAATCTATTGTGAGTGTAATCTTCCTGCCGCAGAGAGCAGGTTCTTCCGTCAGTAACCTTCGGAACATGCGGGCTTATGAATGAGGTGGACTTTTAAAGGATTTGATCAATGAGTAAGACTTTGCATTTTTTAGGCCAGTTCACCCACTATTTTAAATTAACTTAAATGAGAATGATGATAGCACTGATCGAAAACTGATCTTCAAGTCTTAGAAACAGTGCTCAGAAACTGAATATAAATTAGGGAGTTCAGCAGGTCTTCGCTTCTGTCCTCATACAGAGAGATGGCAAATTCAGTAAATGTTCAGTAAATGCTGGTATTGGAAGGAAAAGAGTCTATGAGAAGTCTCCCAGGAACCATTTTAACTGTTAGATTCTTCAACTATCCAGTATGTTCAAGTTCCTGCTTAAGGCACTTAAACCTTGCGAGACAATGAAGTTGACATGCCATGACCACCTCTTTGTGTCACCTGTTACTTCTTGGCACTCACGGTCATTACACTTCTATTGCTGAGAACAACTCAATCCCTCCTTGAATCTACTCAGTCTTGTATGCTGAAAGTGTATGTTTTTCCATCCCTGACGGCAGGTAAGGTTTTTATCAGCCAGTGTGTACTCAGCCTCCTTTTTTTGCAGAGAATGACACCTCCCAGACCTGACCTTGGAGCACTAGCCTATGATTTATGCTGAAAATCCAAGGGATAGTGAGATGTTGAAAGCTGATATTTCAAGGGTCTTAGAACTCTGCTTCAAAACTTTTACACAGAGAGAATGTGATGGGAAATATGTGTGAGTTTTAAATGCAGCATCCTGTTTGTGTGCTGTTAAGGTTTTAGGTACTATAGTTTATGAGAAGGTTGGATATTTGGGTATTATACTTCAGTAACTGAGTTTCTTTGCAGCCATTAGCATCACAAATTAATATGATGAAAATGATTGTCAGTAAATTATGCTGATTTTTTGTCTATATTGTAGAGTTTCTGTATTTATCTGCACTTTTGTACATATGTTTACATGTATACATATGCTAACATGTAAACAACCTCATGATTATTCCATATCTAGATTGCCACAATATCTTTAATGTGTGTTTACACTGTGTTTTAAATTACTTTACAAATAAACTGTATAAGCATGTTTTAACATAGTATTTGTACTTGAGGACCTGTTGTGTGGGGGCACAGTTCTCTTGGTTTAAAATACAGGAGACCCAAGGCTTCCAGTCCTGTGAATGAATTTTTGAGGGTGTAGGCAGGTGGAATATCATGGCAGAATTTGGTGACATTTCCATGACTGCTTGGTATACTGAAAGCTTGGGAAAATGTTAATGGTGATTCCCTATTAATATTACATGTGTCTATATAATAATGATAATGCAGGCTTCTATGTAAATTCAACTTTGGAAACTTGTATTACAATAATGTAAGCACCAATATAAAAGTATATGTTCCAATAAGTACCCACTTCAAATTTTATTTCATAGTTCAACTAGTTCATAGGCAGCAATTGTACAATACTCTTACTTTCCAGAACTACTATAATTTTTATTTTTTAGAAATTTATTTTAGAAGCAGAGGTTTAAGCAAAGTGACAAAATCACCCATCTGCT